GCATCTGACTCTTGGTTTTAGCTCAGGTTGTGATCTCAGGGTCATGACATAGAGCCCCAAGTCACGCTCTTTGCCTGTGGAGAGTCTGCTTGGGATACTGTCTCTCCCTCTCCCTCTGTCCCTCCCTCATTTACTCTCTCTCTTAAATAATCTTTAAACAATGAAACAAAACAAAAAAGAAATAAACCATCCCTGCAACTCAGCCAATCAGGAATGGTCACCACTGTGAAGTCTTGCTTTTCTCCCATAGACTTTTGTTTACACTCTGATGCAATTTCCTCCATATTCTCCAAAAATAATGTTCCTCTTTTGTTTCTTGGACTTGCCTAAGGTTTTGCCATAGTTTGCCTGTCCTGAATTGCAATTCTCTGTTATTCCTGAATAAACCCACTTCTGCTGGTAAAATAACTTATTTTTTTTGAGATTAATAAGATGGTCATGATTAGCAAGATACTTAAGATACCATTTATTTCACCTTTACCTCTTTTGTACGATAGTTATGTGCTTAGAATTTATAAACAACTGAGCATGCATATGTTAGGGGTGAATGCTCAAGACTTATTTACTGACGGAGGGCCTACAGAATTGCTTTAGAGATCATAGCCTATGCTCAATTCTGCTCATGATCAGCTCCAGGATGCCAGGACTGGAGCATGTCTTATGCTTCATTACACACCCCACTTAGAAGGTTCAATGCATCCCAAATGATTAACTCATTTCTCTACCGTAAAGTACACTTCCTGTTTATGTTTTTGAAAATTCTGACAGTAAAGTTCCATGTAATGTATAAAGCTACACTGATTATTTGTGCTATGGACACTGTCTCTAGATAGGTTTCCAATAATATTTCAAATTGTTCCTATTGCTTTGGGAATCCAACTCATGTCAGAGTACGCTTGAAAGGCATCTGCCTTGCCCCTTTCTCCCTGAAATATTTAAGGCACAAAGAAAATAAGAGAGAATTTTATCTGGGCACACAAAAGCCATGTTTTACAGGGTGGTTCTCTCAGAGGATGGTTCCTGGACATTATTCTCAGGAATCCACTTTCAACTACTAAACATATATGAGGTCTGCAGTTAAATTAGCATTATAGAGGACAAAAGAATGTTAAGTGGTCTTCAATATGAAAAGCAAGGGTTTGTCAGCCTGAGGGAGGATCAACTGAAATGATATCCTATCTGCTGATGTTATTTGAAGAGGAGGCATTAAAATGAAAGGTGAAACACAGGAAGGAGACAGGTACCGCTTCCTTTTCAATCCTCCTCCCCACCAGAGGCTCTCATTACACTGTACATCTTGCACACTGGGTCAGAACTGGTGATGTGTCAAGGTGTGCACAGTGGCATTTACACAATGACAGACTAATCATCATCAGAATTCCTCTCATCTCCTGACTGTACTCTTTTTTTCTGATTTTAAGAAGAAACACTTATTCACATATTAATTCAGTTCAGAAGATGTGATTCACAAAAGTTAACTCAATGTAAAATCTTCAAAGTGAAAACCAAAAGCAGGTTGACAGGTTTATAAAGCTTGCCTGGGTCTGACCTCAGAATAGAAACGTCTACTCTCCGGTGAGTTCAGCCCATTCTTTTTCTAGCACACACCTGAGCTGCAGGAGCCAGCTATGAAAAATTCATGCAGGACGTTTCAACAGTCCCACCTATGTCCTTAACATCTGCTGGCTTCACGTCACATTAAAACTTCAAAGTGAATCTACCCTGAGATGGCAGCAAGCTTTCACTGGGGAGCAGGAGAATGGATAGTTTGGAGATGGCCTCTCCTTCTGGACAGGAAATATCTGTGCAGAACATGCTGCAATTTATCTTCTTAGCCACACAAAAGGGGAAGAAATGTAAAGAGATAATAATGCCATCAACTAAACATGCAGAGAACAGCAGGTGGCACAGGGAAGGGGCTGCGTTTCCCTTGTAATTGTCAAGCTTTCTTAAACATTTATTTATTTTTATCTGAATCCTCTCTATCTTTTGCTTTCCATAAGCTTGAAGTGTAGTCAAAACCTTGAGCAACTGAGAAAGTGGTGAGGTTCTGAACTCTCAGGTCCACTGTTGTTTGGGAAGATACACGATTTCCTCCTGTTAGCTGGGTGTTAGGGCATCACTCACATAGATGCTTTTTTTTTTTTTTTCCACATAGATGCTTTGAGACAAGGCTGGCCCCTGGGAGCTATTCACTTGGACTGCTGTCCTGCAGGAGGAGCAGCTTTATTATTATGACAGGAAACAAGAGGTGGGGTTCTCTGGTGCTCTCTAATCTTAAATTAATTATGGTATGATCCACTAGGAATTTAATTTCCAGTACCTTATCACCTCAATCATATTCACTAAAGTTCCTTGATGCTGAGGAAAAATTTATCTTTGTTAAATGATAATTGGCTATAATATCTTTTGATTCTTCAGAAATGCTGGCTGGCAAGTTTTTCAGAAATTTCATCAATCTTGTTTGGTGTTTTTAACAAAGCCTACCTCAGAAAAACAAACAAACAAACAAACAAACAAACAAACAAACAAACAAAAAAAGTTGTCTAAGTCTGCAGCATACCCTATATCCTACTACCAGCATGAACAGGTCCTGAGGATACCTAATCTCATGGTAAACTTAGAGGTGTTGTACCTCTGCCCCTCCCCAGCCCCACCTAGTACTGGTGGTGGTCCTGAGTACAGGTGCTGTTGCTGATAGCATTTGATGCAGTCCAGAAAGGAACAATCCTTACACATACAATTCTGACAGCTTCTGCAGATTTATCAATATTTCTGATCTTTAGAGGTTTCAAAATAGAATTTTTAATGAGAAAATGCATAATTGAGTACCATTTAACTTTTAGCTAAATCCAATATGTCAACAGAATGTTATCCTGAAAAATCAAAATAAGGCGGTTTCCTCAACCTTCTGACTCTTCACATGTTAGTTGGTCCCAATAAAAAGCAAAGAATATATAAGGAAACAGTATGCAGGTTTTCTCCCAAGATATTTAAAATAAGTCCATCCACATCATCAATCTTTTTATATCTCACCTTCTAAACATTTTACCTGGTGCCAATGAAAAGATAAATATATACAAGGGAACAAAATGCAAGACAGTTAATTATAATATTTATAAGCTGTTTCCAACATACTTCTTGGTTGGAGTAGAATCTGAAGTTATTGAAAAAGAATTTACATATTCCAATTATCTAAAGCCAGGGTACTGCATTAGGATGGCAACTTGCAAACTCACTGTATTAGTTTTATTTCCTATTGGCCTTTCTAGAAGAGGCATGTAGGAAAGCACAGGTACAGATGATTTCACAACTCTGTGATGTTAGCATCATGTTAACCAGGCTACTTGAGGAATTTTTTTCCCCATCTTCCAACAGGCTCAGACCAATTTCCTTGCTTCTGACCTAGAATTCTACCAATATGATCACTTATTATCCTGGTATGTATATCACAATTGAGTGCTAAATTAATTTTCTAAACAATAAATGGCTCTAATTGTAAAACTCAGAAATCACTAAAATAATCAATTTGATAATATAATTTCCATCCTTTATAATCAATATTGAAAAAAGTCTTGATAAGTCACATTTATTTCTATTATGATTCTTGATTCAGAGGGTCCTTTAAATAGCAGCACATCACGGCCTGTAGTTTGTGAACCCCACACGCAGTCAATGCACCTAACTCTATGGTGACAGCCCAATCCGCACCCTCTCTGTGGTCTGGAGATTCAACTCCTAGGAATGGAGATGCTGATGGAAGGTTGATGGCCACCCAGAAGCACTTACCAGGGAGGTGACAGGCATGTGAAAGCACTCAATGAATCCCGGGGTCTCCTGCCCCATGTTTGCTACGGACATTCACCTAGTCAGTCCTGCTTGGCTTCACGCAATTATCCCTCAGGGAGTATGAGGAGCAGCCACTAGGATCCTATCTGAAGTACCACATGAAACTTTTCAAACCACTTGAGGGGAAAGCCATTCCTTTGAGGTGCTTCTTAAAAAGATGACATCTACTATGAGACAGATAAACTCATTTAATTCCCTCTTGTTTTATGTGATCATCAAATTTTGAAATTTACAACCATTTCCCAGCTGTGTGTTCTCAGGCACAGAGTCACAGCATTTCATCCCATGAAACATCACTCTGCCAACAGCTGGTGACCTGCCCTGTGAAGTGCTTGCTTTCATCTCTTTTAGCTCAGAGTTTTTGTTTCTGGCCACTTCCCCCTTCTCCAGCAATCAACTCTGGTAGAATTTTTAGAGCCTTCTTTCAAAGTCCAAATGTTTAAACTAAGTTTCCTCAAACTAAAATTTCCTTAAATAAACTTAAAGTGTAACTGTAATTGGTGTGTATTCTCATCATGATTCAGTTAAGTCAGGTAGAAAAAATGGTCAGTAGATTATAATTAAGAAATACTGCTAATTTGGGGTACCTGGGTGGTGCATTCCTTTAAGCAACTGACTCTTGATTTAGGCTCAGGTCATGATCTCAGGGTCATGAGATCAGGCCCTGTGTCAGGCTCTGCACTGGGTGTGGAGCCTGCTTAAGATTCCCTGTTTCCTTCTCCCTCTCCCACTACCCCCACCTGCACTCTCTCTCTTAAAAAAAAATACTGCTAATTTTAACACAATATATATATTTTCTCAAAGATTTTATTTTTAAATTAAACATAACCTGTGTTTAGTTTCAAAGTTCACAGATAAAATTCCTTATGAATCAAGGTTTTTTGTTGTTAAAAACAATATGCAATAGCAGTGTGTAAAAGCAAAAATGATTTTTTAAATCCCCCAAACTAACAAGATCTTGCAGTAGGAATTATCTGTTGTGCCCACATTTTCTGCATAGCACTTCAAAGAAAGCAACTATTGACACTGGATCAATATTAAACCATAGCCACTATCTTAGAGATTTATTGCAAAATGCCCCATGATACATATATTAATTAAATCAAGATTTTATTGCTTTCAGAATTATCATTTGGAATTTCAAAACTCACTCGTGATGCTCAAGTGAATGAGTGGGCTGGTCTTGTTCTCTCCATTTCGCTCATTGACGGCCTGTGCATAGTAAGCCCCGGTGTCCCCCGCTGTCGTAGCAAGGATCACCAGTTGATTTTCCAGCGTGATGGCTCTGTGTCAGACAAGAGACAGTGTCAAAGGCACTCCATAGGACTTCTGGTTTGTAAGGCAAATTAATTTATTAAGCCAAGAAAGAAATGTCCAGGGTTTATAAATAGATCTGGAAGGACAAAAGTGAACATATGGGCGGACCTCAGAAAGATGGCAGTGGCTAAGCCTTCTCTGGCCCAGTTCACACTCCTGTGGGGAGCCTCTGAGCCCTCTGACCCTTTGTTGTTGTGAGGAAGACAACATTTTGGGACATATGTATCCAAGGTTTGTTAAAACACAAAGCTTCCTCTGGGACTTTGTAACAAGTTAGAAGACATTCCAGAAGAGCTAGTCTTTTGCTTTCAAGCAGGGCTGTGTGATCACACAAGGGTCACAAACCTCTCAGGTGGAGGACTGCACTACCCCAAACCTGGAATGGAAGCAATTTCTTCCACCTCCTAAGGTGCCTCATTAGAGCCTCTATACCTCTATTTCTCGACTAGTGGGTAGAAGAAAAGTTGCCAGTGGGCATGGTGTTGACCCCTTCTATTTGATTTTCTATCTGGGCCACCTCCTCACATTCCGGAGGTGCAAACAGTCTAGTCCATCATCACTGAGACCTTCTCGTATACCCTAATTCTACTGCAGAAAGGAATCTTGGAGACACATTTGACCCACTACCTTCTCTTTAGAAATGAGAAAACTGAGGTTCAGACAGGTCATTTGTTCAAGGTAACATAGCAAGGTGACAATACCGGAGGGAGGACCTGCCTTCCCACATGTGGACTGCTGCTCTGCCAGGCAGATCACACAGAGACTCACCAGATGACTTATTTAAAAGAAGAGGAGGAAAAAATAACAAAGATACAACTTCCATAAACCTAAGCAGCTTTTAATGAAAATATGTGTCCTATTGCCTTTTGCTCTTGCTAAAATTTGCATAATTTGTTAAAAGAAAACAAAACGATACAAAGGGCGGTCTGGGCATTGCAGGTAAAATACATTCTGAGCACCCAAGTGCCATGTAGGCCCTGCTCTTATTCAAACGCCAGAAGTACCTGGGATCCAGACTGAATTGCTTTGCTACCCACAGGCTGTTACTTTACAGGGAATACGTTTCTTTGTTCATTTTAAATCCTAGATAGTCATAGCCCTTCCAAATTCAGATAAGATCTCTGTTCTGGTAACATAAAAAACATGCAAACTGTGTGACCTGTCATGGGGAATCTTACTATGATAATCATCTTTTTCTTCCTGATACCTTCTGGAAAGCTTCTTCAGACATTCACGACTTTTATGCATTATACGAGATTATTTTACAAAGTTACTGCTTATTCAGGGTTCCCATAGGATATATTGCAGTTTGAGGTCTCTTACTAACTTATCTCCTCCCACTTAGGATAATTTCCCTATTAACAAGTTTTCAATTTTTAGTCCCATAAAAATACCTCAAAGAAGTTTTACTATAATTATTTATGACTCTTTTATAGATTACTTTATAGAACTGTAGAAATGGTTCCATTTTATTTTAGTATATGTTACTCTGGCACCTAAAATTAAATATGAATATTTATTACACACGAAGTTATACATTTAATAGTACAATTTAAAAAACTGAGTATGTCATAACTTTTTTCCCTAACATCTGATTTTCGCCATTGTAATTTCAAATATGCCTATTATTTCTCAGAATTATTCTCCAAAAGTGCCTATTAATTCTCTGTATTATTTATGACATTGTCTCAAGGGTATTGAAAATATAAAGTACATAAGGAATGAAAATATTAAAGTTTACATCCATTATAATTTGTATCTTTAAGCTCATTTTTTTCTTCCAGGGTTTTTTTTTTTAAATTTTTATTTATTTATGATAGTCACAGAGAGAGAGAGAGAGAGAGAGAGAGAGGCAGAGACACAGGCAGAGGGAGAAGCAGGCTCCATGCACCGGGAGCCCGATGTGGGATTCAATCCCGGGTCTCCAGGATCGTGCCCTGGGCCAAAGGCAGGCGCCAAACCACTGCGCCACCCAGGGATCCCTTTTTTTTTTTTTTTTTCCTTCTCGGTTTTAATTTCTAGACCATCTTAAGTCAAAATTTATAAAGAAAAACTTGTCTATGCCAAAAAAGACAGCACAAAAATGCCAAAGCTTTCCAGAACATTAGATTAATGAGGATCAGTTCCCAGGAAGACTTTTTTCTTTCTTCCTATCCAGCTCTTTCTGAACAGAACACTTCCACAAAAGAAACTGAGTTTAAAATGAAAATTAAACCATCTAAGGACATTCATCTTAATTTCAGATAATTCAGATAATTGTTATAATGCTTAAGAGAAGAGCAATTTTTAAAGACACTGAAGTGGGTACCATGCATTGGTTCCCTGAGTCCTCCCTCACAAACTGAATCTGCTGTGTTCACACCTTGCCCACCACCACATACGTGAGGAAGCTGGCCTACTCCCAACACCAGATTTGGATTTTGGTCATCAGAGGCCAGTACAGGTACCGGTGCCATCTAAGACATGAGGAATTGGCATGGGACCCAAGCTGCCCGATTGGACAAAGGGGAGAAGCATGCCTGGGGGAGAGCCCTCACCCCTGCTGGAGGCCAGGCCGGAAATGTGCTGTCCCACATTTGGCGGCTGGCAGCCACCGTTGCAATGCTGAGGAAGGCAATGTGTAGGCAAAAGCCGGAAGAGAGAATTTTGAGAGTCAGAGCAAATTAGATAATAGCCTGAAGGTGATGATATGAAAGTAAGCTAAATGATCCTTTAACGTGACTCTTACATGTGGTCCAAAAAATATGTGGAAATGTTGGGATCCTTGGGTGGCTCGGCAGTTTAGCACCTGCCTTCGGCCCAGGGTGTGATCTTGGAGTCCAGGGATCGAGTCCCACATCGGGCTCCCTGCATGGAGCCTGCTTCTCCCTCTGCCTGTGTCTCTGCCTCTTTCTCTCTGTGTCTCTCATGAATAAATAAATAATTTTTTTTTTTTTAAAAAAGAGGAAATGTCAGGCTACTGAGGTGGGCGCTGACTTCTGACATTTATTCCATATCTTCATTTTATAGTAGTAATGTGATTTAAAGAATTAACCCTAACCAGTCTAAACCAATCATGGTAATCCCTTCCCTCTTGCCACGACTGACAAGAGGAAACCAGGCTTGAACCAGCTGGTCCATGGCAAGTATCTGGTGACTATCATTGCACTTAGGTAGCCACACCTAAGTGAGTCCCACCAGATGAAAGGGTAGGATTTTTATTCCTTGGTTGGGGGATCAGGCTTTTTCTCCCTCTACCACAGGTGAATAAGGAAGCATGCTGTCTGGGTGTTCATAGTGGCAATTGTATGGCCTGGAAGGAAACAGCCTTAACATGAAGTTGATGATGCTGGTGGCCGGAGAGAGAGAAAACAAAGTCCCTAGGTCCTTCATCTTGAGAACCTGAGTTAATTAACCAACCATCCTGCAGCCCATCCTATCTCTGGGCTTCCTGTTTCATGAGATGATGTACTTCACTCACGTTTAAACTTGTTTAAATAGGGGTTTCTGTTTCTGGAAGTCATATGAATCCTGATACAGATGGAAAACAGCATATGCAATAGCATCCATCTGGGGTTCAAAAAAAGAAGAGTGTGTCCTCAGTGCACAGAAAATAATCCTCTGTGTATATTTCTCTATATGTGTACATATAAGATGGTAACAGCAGTTAACTTTGAGTGGTAAGATTATAACTTGTTTTCTTTTGATCTCTGTATTTTAAAACATTTTTCCGCAATAAATCACTTTTGTTACAGAAGAACAACTTTCAAAATGAATGCAAGGGCATGTGTTTAATATTTTGCCCAATGGATGCTTGGGTGGCTCAGCAGTTAAGCGTGGATCAAGTCCCACATCAGCCTCCCTGTATTGAGCCTGCTTCTCTCTGCCTATGTCTCTGCCTCTCTCTCTGTGTATGTCTCTCATGAATAAATAAATAAAATCTTTAAAAAAATACTTTGCCCACGATGCAGACTACTTGGCTTTTTTATTACATAATTCCAAAGTACTAATTTAAAACTTCACATTGACTTTACAGGAAAATTATAGCATTAAGCCAGAGAGATTTTTCTTTTATTTTCACTTTGTTAAAATAAATGTATATATGGTTTTACATAAAATTATTTCCTTAGTCTTCCCCATCTTAATTCTACATTTCAAAATGACACCTTCTAACTTCCAGTTCTGTGGGATAGTAATAAAGAAAATAACACAGAGATTTAAAAGCTCAGTGCACTATGGCTAAGATGGACCTGAGCTTGGAAAAGCAGAGCACTGGATTCATGAGAACACTTGGAAGGGTTGCTTACTGCTGATGGTAAGCACATGGATGGTTCAGAAGATGACTCATTTGAAAGGGCACATTCCAGGTGCTTTCAGCTCTGCACTTGATTTTCTTGAGGCAGTTGGCAAAGTAAGAATTCTCTATTTTGGTAAAGTTAAAACCTCAGAGGAGATCCCTGGGGTCTTTGACCATCAGCTCTGGTCAAGATCACCCATGAGGGGAAATGCCCCTGGGTGTCTAGATCCAAGGGCTTACACACTTGATGTATGGGGCCGGTGGGGGTGTAAGCAGTGGGAGTGTCTACAAGTGAGCTTCCTGCCACACCTGCCAATGTCCAGGGGATATCACATTCTCAATGCCACAAAGAACACTGACTTTCCAACCTGTGGCACTCACATAATAATTATGGAAGCACCAGCTTGGTGGTTGATGAAAACAGCCCTGTTTACACCTCTCCTCACAGCTGCCTGTGACCAGGAAAGAATGTAAGGACAGATGTTCATCCGGATTGCCACGGGAAGAGAACCAAATAATTGTACTCATTATTTAATCAGATGTGAGTCCCCAGGCCTAACTCAGAGTGGAAGGCATATAAGCCTGAACCATGTACACAATGCCCATGTCCCATGGAGCTTAGATTCAGTGTTTTTATAAACTATAAGAAATAATACGAACACTTTATGGACTTTCCCTTAAGAATGGGAAGA